CCGGACGATTTTGGAAGGTCTAAAAAAGAAGCTACACTCGGCTGGTCGTAGTTGGGCCGATGAATTACCATATGTGTTGTGGACTTATCGGACGACCCCGAGGGAAGCTACTTTGGAGACCCCTTTCGCCCTGGTTTATGGAGCAGAAGCCCGACTCCCGATCGAGGCTTGGATTCCGACCGATCGAGAAAGTACTTACAATGCGGAGGAGAACGAACATGCAATGGTCGTGGATCTCGACGGGGTCGAGGAAAAAAGAGAGCTAGCCGCTCGGCGTATGGCTGAATACCAGAAACGGGTCAAGAGTTCGAAGGATGTTCGGGTCAACCCTCGTTATTTCCAGGTGGGAGATTACGTTTTACGACGAAGGGAGGCCAGTCAACCTTTGGAAGGCGGAAAGCTAGCTCAAAACTAGGAAGGGCCGTACATCATCAGCGCTATCATACGACCGGGTACATACCGACTGGAGACGACAACCGGTCGGATAATCGAGGGGACTTGGAATTCTGAGCACCTCGTTATGTTTAGGCATTAGCCTATTTTTTGTAATCTTTGGACGAAGTGGGGGCTCGACCTGCGAGTTGGTCCCGGTCGTCATCTGTAATTAAATTTGTTACTGTAAATATTTCTTAACCACCTGCGAGCGGGAATGTCTAATGTATATACGATCGGTGATTGCTTGACCGTTTGTATACGGCGGCCCGGTCGGTTATTTTCTATACCTTTTGGTGTATGCAGATCAAGTTACATCGACCGAAGCGAGTTTATCGACCGGTCAAATACGCTCCTCTTCGGTGGACAATCGGGTCACGCCATTTGATCGGGGAAGCCAGGAGCATACAGCATAATTCCCCGATCTAATCAACTTCTTTCCACTATCGCACTCACTCGTGCCTCGAGAGCACAATAGTGTGGGGGCTGGGACAAGGAAGTGTTTGTCGGCCCATCGCGCGGGAAAAACTCGACCGTGGGGGCTTACCCATTTTCAAAATTTCGTCAAGGCCTGGAGATCGGGTAAACCTGATCGGGTTGGCCAATATGACGTTGACATAAGTCCGTTGTTTGGAGATATCCCGAACGTGGAGGCTTACCTATTCTCAAAATTTCGACAAGGCCTTAGGATCAGATAAACTCGGTCGGGTAGGCCAATGAGACGTCGAAATATTGGATGTGCGACCGGGCCATAAGGCCACAAGGTCGGATATCGAGTGAGTGGAATAATGCACGACCGGGCTAAATGGCCGTAAGGTCGAGCACTTACGATCGGTATACGCGCGTTGAAGATAAAAACGTAAAGTAAAAAACGAAAGGCACAACTTAGACACAAAAGAGTTTGTTATTAATCAAAACCTACCCGGTACAACTCGGGACCGGGCTCCCGACTAAGTGTTTACAAAAAAGGAGAAAGTAAAACCGGCAGGCTTCATTTCTTCGCGGCTTCAGTATCGGCAAGGTCGACCGGCTTCTCAACAGCAGTACCACTCGGGCCGACGATCTCGATCTCGGGATCGTAGGGGTCCAGCCCGGGGTCGGGGACCTCAGTCGGGAGGGTGGTCAAAACCAGCTCGAGGTCTTCGCCCTCGAGTGCCTCCCTCATGTTGGCCTCCGTCCTCTCCCTCATATCCCTTTGGCCGCTGTTGTACGCCCAATGACCGAAGGACCAGAAGAGCTCGTCCGCAACGGCGTTCTTTCGCATCTGCCGAATGAAAGCCATTCCGGGCTCGACCTCCCGAAAGAAATGCTCGATCGCAGCGGTCGGGTCTGTGCTTTTCTTGGCCGCTTCTTCCCGAGCCTCCTTCTCCTTTTGCAACGCCTTCGACAAGGCGTTCCGGTCGGTCCGAGCCTTCTTCAGCGCCTCCTCGGCCTTCTTCAGCTCGCCGGACATCTCCTCCAGCTCCTTAAATCGCCGGTCGGCGACCTTTTTAAGCCTTATGGCCTCAGTGGCCAATAGCGCTTGGCCATGGAAGGCCGCCCCGATCCGAGATGCCTGCAAAGTATAGCGCGTTAGCTCGATTGAGGGTCCTTAATACAAAAGTGAAAGAAGGAAAAATTCTTACCTCGGCCAGCTCACGACCGAGCCGTTCTGCCAATTGGGTTGGGCTCAGCTTGGTCAGGTCTATCTCGACCGACGTCAGATTGCCGATCCGAGATAGTATGGAGGCATCAGCCATGGCAGACCCGACCGCTGGGCTCGGGCTCTTCTCTATTCTTGGCCTCTTGCTCCCGGTCGCCTCTTCGACCGCTCTCTCCGTCGCCTGCCCCTTTGGCTTACTGGTCACTCGGGTGACCAATGTGTCCGAGGCATCCAGGACCCCGCCCTCGTCGGTGTTGATCGGGATGGGGCACAAGGGTCGGGCAACCGGGATGGAGTCCCCTCCCGAAGACCCGGCGTTGGTCTTCTTCTTCCCCAAAGTTATCTTCGTTCAGGGAGGAGACTTTGGAGCTCCGCTGTTGAAGCGTTTTGACGCCATATCTGCAAAAGAAATAACTACGTTAGCTCGGGAGTAGATTCGTTGCTCGGGGAGTTACGAGCGGGAGAGTTAGTCAAGGATAAACCTGTCTTCTTCCGTTTACCCCGAGTAGGAGGACCTGCTACCACCACGCCCATCAGCACGGGCTTATACTTCTCTCTCAGATCATATACCGGATCTGGTAACCGGGCGGCTTCAAGGCTCTCTGCCGATTGGAAGATCTTGTATTCGTGGATCTCGCTTGAGATCCGGACGGCAGCTTCCCGAAGAGCCGGGGTCTCGACCGGCGTGACTTGTTTCCTGAAATGGGTGCTCCAGACTCTGTCGATCGGGAGGATCCATGGGTCGTACTTGACCGAGAAGATCCTCCTTTTCCACCCTTTGTTGTTCCCGGGCAGGCCTGCGATCGAGCATCTTCCCTCTCGGGATTGCACCATCAAAAACCCACCTCCGTAGGTGCCCGAGAGGACCTTCACCTAATAGATATAGTTGAAGAGCTCCATCGTGCAGGGTACCTTATGCCGAGCACAAATCTGCGGAAAGCATGCTATGATGCGATGCGAGTTCGGGCAGATTTGGGCTGGCATGACCTGGTAGTAGCCCAGGAAAGCGGTCAAGATGGCGGTGAACGGGAAGACGACCGGGGCTAGTAGGGAGTCATAGTGCATCCCAATCCACTTGCCCCGGTGACGATCGATAACATTCCTGAGCCGCCGACTTGTGTCGAACTCCACTCGACCGCTTAGTCTTTCCGCGATCCGCGCAGCTTCCCCGTGCGTCAATTCACTCATTTGTTGGGCGACGCTCTCGCTGTTCAAATATTCGAACCCGTCATCCCTGCCGATCCCCGGTTCGGTCATCTCCTCATCGACCGGTTCGCTACTATCCGGCAGATCGTCTCCTTGAAGAACGGTCTCCGGGTGATCCCCTATCACCCGGGTGGGCGTTTCTCTAATAACCTCACTCTCGCGGCCTAAGTTTCCCGAACCGCTCGAGCTCGATCCCGAAGAGTCGCTTGTGCTCGAGGATGCCTGCTGCTCGGGGGATCGCTCGGGAGCCTTCCCCGGTCGTTGAACGACTTCGGGAGAATCGGACATGATCTCTACCTCCTCGTCGTTGATCTGCTCGAAGCCGTGGTCATAATCTGCGACCGAGACGTTTTGGCTATCCGAGTCCGACATATGGTTCTACCTAGAGGTCGGTCGGGGTTAGTACGGGGTTCGGGAAGTTAGTTCGGAGTTAGTTCTATCCTATTCCTACGCAAAATTAAGAACAAAGGAAAATATAAGGAATTAAGAGCTTACCGGATGATGAGACTTGGAAGAAAACTTGAAGCTTGGTTTGCTCGATTGGTTCGCTGAACTGCTGCTCGGGACTCTCTGAGGGTACCGATTGCTTCAGTGGATTGAGGAAAGTTCAAATGAGGGCCTCAAGGGCCTATTTATAGGAGAGCATTTAGGCGGGAAAACGAGTCCACTTGCGTGACACGACCCGCACTGATTCCGAGGCGACCGTTGCGGTCGCCGAGGCCGGTAGTGGCCGACACGTGGCGAGGGAAGGAATGACAGCTGGCCGGTCGGTTTGATGGCCGACGTTTGGGCTTCTTCATCCCGTCCCGTTTTTTCCCGGACGGTCAAAAAGGCCCGGGCTGGGGGGCTTTTGGTAGGGAATATCCCGACCGCCATAGCTCTACCACGACCGAGGTGCCTTCGTCTTTGTCTTTTTGTCTTTGCAGGTAGCAGGTCGGGCTTTTTATGAAGAACCCGGTTGGGAAGCGACCGGAAATTGCCCGAGCGGTAGTGTCGACCACTGAGCGGTAGCCCTTCGGCAAGGGAGCTGATAAAGGACACGTGGCGGCTCTCTGTGGCGACAGATAGGGCACCCGGGAGGGTGACACGTGGTGGCTACGTGGAGAGCATGCCGAACGACCGGATTTGTGTCTTCGGCGCAGCAGCTATAAATACCCACAGTAGCTACAGTGTAGAGGACTTTTGGACGATCGATAGGTTGTTACTAGAGAATCCCGACCGCAGTCAGTCGGCACTCAGAGCAACCAAGTAGATTGTACTTAGGGCCTTTACCGTGATCAATAAAGTCTTTTACCTGCTTTAATTGGTCTCGGGTTCATTTTATATTGCTTACGTAGAATTAGCAGTATCAAGTGTATACAAAATAAAACTGAATAACAGCGTTATTTTTTTTGAAAGGGTGCGGAACGGCAGAAAACGGTTGTCGTTTATTTTCATTAATCAAAACGACGTTGTTTTGATGCACGATATAATTTGTCGGAGAAAGTGGTCCAGGCCGGGAGCTCCTGCAGCTAGCAAGCTGCAACTCCTGCAAGCTGCAAGCCGCAGATGGAGCTGCCAGTAAATCTAAATATATATAAAAAATAAAAATAACACAAGATAGTAAATAAAATTATGGAAAATATGCAGTAAATGAAAATCAGAGCGTGAAAAGGGCAGAACATGCCAAACAGCCAATTTTAATTTCTGACATCTTAAATCTCAGCCCTTCCTTCCTTATCATTCCTTCCACCTCTTTCTCGCCATATCCCTCAACCTTCCCCACTATCTCCCCTCTCTCTCTCTCCCCGAAACTGCTTCTTAAATCTTCCCCTCCATTTCTATCGCTCTTTATCGCAATTCAATTACCTGCTGCAACCCGGTTTATATATCTAGCTCCCGGCCGGCCTGCACTCTTCATTACTGTATCTCTGCTGTTTATTTATATACAATCAAGCTAAGCTATATATAAGTATTTATATATTGTACTGCGGCTTTGGTGTCACTTTTTCACTTTCTGGATTCTGCATTAAAGAACCTTCTCTATCAGGTCGGTATATAGTATAGTATATGCACCTAATTAAACGTAACATTGATTACTTGCTGTGTGTGCTTTCGTTTTCTTCATGTGTATTATATTTAATTTGTTGCATGCTTAGCTTTCTGCTCTGCCACAGCTTTGGAATTTAAGTTCAGCAATATAATGGCGCCCAAGACCGGTCGTGGCAAGACGAAGGGAGACAAGAAGAAGAAGGAAGAGAAAGGTATGTATCTATAGTATACTTCACTTATCTTTTTCTTTTCAAATTAAACAATATAATATGAGCTAATAATTAATTTTTGTAACAATACTACGCCACGGAGTATTATTTAATTTAATCTGATGAATTTCTCAGCAATATTATATAATAATTAACTTTACATTTCATTTGCAGTTCTCCCGGTTGCCATGGATGTAACAGTAAACCTACCGGACGAGACGCAAGTTATCTTGAAGGTTTACTTATTCTTTAATATATATATATATATATATATATATATATATATATATATATAAGCTGAGTTATACTATATATTGCTTGGATAGATGAGATGAATAGTTCGTTGGGGTGTAGAGTTAGTTTGTTCAATTCCTGTAAGAACAAACAATATTATGCCATAACGGCAAGATGTTAGTTGTTGGATAAATATAATGCTGCTTCCAATTCACAGCTGGGTGGGATAATTACGGATTTCATGCAATTGTCAAATATGTTAGCTAAACTTTTGTTTGTTTCTAGTTCAACAAATACATGATAGAGAGATTTATTTTAAAATTGAGACGTATAGAATAATATTTCATGACTAAAATAAGTTGCGTAAGTAAACTGTAATCTATTATGAATGAATAACGTTGACAAATTTTATAAAAATATATATTTCATTTACACGTACTATTTTGCTATTAAAATTTTATAATTTTCTTATTTATTTATTTTAGCTATTAATTATATTTGTTTTTCCTCTTAAATAGGGGATATCGACGGATAGGATTATTGATATTCGTCGACTTCTAACGGTGAATACGAGGACTTGTAATTTCACAAAATTTTCGTTAAGTCATGAGGTAATTATTATTATTTTCTTGAGATACTTATTTGATCTATTAAATATTTGTAAATTAAATGGGGATTATCCCTGCCACCGTGGCATCCTATCAACAGGTGAGAGGGCCACGCTTGAAGGATACGGTGGACATTTCCGCACTGAAGCCTTGTGTCCTCACTCTTGTTGAAGGTAAACTAACGTTATTCGTAAACGGTAACGTTTACTAATATAAAACCCCATTTTGCCCCTAACCTTTGCAATTTATTCTCAGAGGATTACGATGAAGAGAGCGCCACGGCGCATGTTCGAAGGCTGCTGGACATACTAGCATGTACGACGAGTTTCGGGCCGTCTGCGGCGAGCTCAAAAGGCGGCGATTCGAATAAGAATGTTCGTCCTACGCAGGATGCCAAGAACCCCAAAAAGTCGAGCAAATCGCAGCCGACCAACCCCAAGCACTCTTCGCCACCAACTTCCCCGACGTCGCATTCAAAGCAGGCGGCGAAAGATGCATCATCGGCGTCGGTGGACGCTGACGGAGAGATGAACAACTCCTGTCCTAAACTTGGTAGCTTCTACGAGTTCTTCTCTCTCTCAAATGTCACGCCCCCTCTTCAGTGTAAAGCTCTCGTCTTTCCTCTTCATCTTTTCCTCCTTTCTGATCAACTTGCTAACTTATGCTCTCGGAAATGTATTCTGGCAGTTATAAGAAGAGCAACAACGCAACGGAATGAGAATGATTTGCGGGAGGATCACCTTTTCTCTATCGAAGTAAGATACTTGTTCTAAATTTATCACTGAGCAGACGTACTAATACAAATATAATGCCATATTGTGTTCCAGAGATTTGCACATATAGTGTTGCTTACGTTAAATGAGCTGATATGGTAGGCACTTGTGATCATTATTTACAGGTTAAGCTTTGCAATGGGAAGCTGGTTCTGGTTGATGCCTGTAGAAAAGGATTCTATAGCATTGGAAAGCTAAGGATTCTTAGCCACAACCTTGTTGATTTGTTGAGACATCTTAGCAGAGCGTTTGACAATGTCAGTTTCGCAGTGCTCCTGCTTTCTTAATGAAAATACTGTGGACCTCTTACTATTTTGTGACTCAAAAATGGAGATTGAGGATGCTTTTGCTAAATTCAAACCCCCCCCCCCCCCCCCCCCCCCCCAGCCAATATTTCTGTACAATTTTTTGGTGAAAGCATGGATTGTATGCATAGTAGTTGATCTTAGATTCTTAGTCTTCCATTGATTGGTAATTTAGATAATCTTTAATGTTTGTACTTATTTGATGTATGAATTGCCAAATAACTATGCTATACTCATTGGGCATGATGAAAAGTACTCTATACATTTGGAGCATTTATTATGAGCCAATGCTTGTTGTCATTTAGCGGAACAGATTTGTAGAATGTCTGCTTTATAACTGATTAAAAATTGAGAAGAGAATTTGAGTAAACGTCTCATATGTTGGATAATGTGATGGAGGTTTGCTTTGAAAGGTTAATCTGTAGTTTGTCCTCCCTGATAATTTTCATACCTCATTCTTATAGTATCTTTTGTTTGATTTGGAATTTTATTTATTTTTTAATTTTAGTTTGTTATGATTTCTATTCATTGGGTGGAAACTGATGTAGCTCATCCTTCTTTTCAGGCTTATGAAGATCTTATGAAAGCATTCCAAGAACGTAACAAGGTTTCCTATTACTCTTCCTATATCCTCGTCACTGACTGAATTATCTACTAGCCTTCTACATTTTGAATCATTCTGAAATTCTTGCTCATTTATGCAGTTTGGAAATCTTCCCTATGGCTTTAGAGCTAACACTTGGCTCATTCCCCCTGTTGCCGCACAGTTGCCCTCTAATTTTCCACCTCTCCCAGTGGAGGATGAAAAATGGGGAGGAGATGGAGGTGGTCTTGGCCGGGATGGAAAAAACAATTTGTTTCCTTATGCCAATGCATTCTTGTTTATCACATCTATGCCATGTGCAACAGCAGAGGAGAGGCAGATTCGTGATAGGAAAGCCTTTCTTCTTCACAGTTTATTTGTTGATGTTGCCATTTTTCAAGCAATATCAGCTGTGCAGCATGTAATGGAGGAAGACAAATTATCTAATTGTGGTATTGATGGCACTATCATTTACAAGGAGAGTGTTGGTGACTTAAACATTTCTGTCATGAAAGATGCTTCTAATGCCAGCTGCAAAGTAGATACTAAAATTGATGGAACTCAAGCATCGGGATTAGACATGAAACAATTGATTGAACGAAATCTCCTGAAGGGGATTACTGCTGATGAAAATACTGCAGCCCATGTAGGACACAGTGAACAGCAAAGTTCATCCAGAGTCTTATTCTGTTATTTTGTTTCCTGCATTTTTTGTTGTTGTTTTAAATGTTAATGAAAACATGTTTTTCTAATGCAGGATTTAGCTACCTTAGGTGTTGTAAATGTAAGGCACTGTGGTTATATTGCAAGTGTGAAAGTTCATGGTGAAGAAATTGACAACAAAAGTCCTAAACTGCAAAGTCTTGATCTTCCTGATCAACCTGATGGGGGTGCCAATGCCCTAAATATAAACAGGTGTTACTGACTTTCTTATTAGAAGTTCCATACAATTCTTTCATTTCTGTTGTCCCTTCTATATCTAGTTGACATTCTTTCGTTGATGTATATTCTATATTGTTCACCTTCTAAACCAGTACTGCTACTTATACATTTTTTTTCCTTTATTTTTTGTAGTTTAAGGATGCTTCTTCACTTCAAGACAGCTTCAGAATATAACAAAATAGCATTGCAATCAAAAAGTTCAGGTTGTGAAGACACTACTTCCCAGGCTTTTGTTAAGAGAGTACTGGAAGAGAGTATTACCAAGCTTCAAGAAGAAGAAATAAAAGCCGATGCTTTCATAAGATGGGAACTTGGAGCTTGTTGGATACAACACTTGCAAGATCAGAAGAAATCAGAAAAAGAAAAAAAGCCTCCTGCTGAGAAGATAAAAAATGAAATGAAGGTTGAGGGGCTTGGAACTCCTCTGAAGTCTCTTAAGAACAAAAAGAAGAACTCAGATGGGAACAATATGGAACTCCAGTCTGATAACCCCAAGTCTGCTGCATATGGCATTAGTGAGGAATCGGAAAAAACTGTAGTGCCTTCAACAAACTCCCATGATGAAAATCAAATCATACTACAAACTTTGTTGTCTGATGCTGCTTTTAACCGACTAAAAGAGTCGGAGACTGGACTCCACCTTAAGGTAGAAAATGTACATAATCTCAGGAAATTCAATATCTTCAGTTGCATTCTATTTCCTAACCTTTTTCCTTTTCATGATAGTCATTACAGGAGCTGATTGATCTATCACAGAAGTACTACGACGAAGTTGCCCTTCCTAAACTGGTAATATATATATAGTTTATATTGGTGAACTTTTCTGGAATTCTAGAACTTATAATTTATATTTGTTAATGCGATACAGGTTGCTGATTTTGGTTCTTTGGAACTATCACCAGTTGATGGTCGGACACTTACTGATTTCATGCATAGCAGAGGTCTGCGGATGCGTTCTCTTGGGAAAGTTGTGAGTCTTCATTGTGGATTTCGTTGTTTATATTTATTAACTTTTTTGATTTGTAACTGTCACATGGCTTGATTTAGCTGAGAACCCTAAGTAATGCTTGTACTTTTATTTCATGGCTTAGTTGAGTTATAGGTGCTGGTGGATTGCTATAAAAATAATTATTAGGGGATTAGTAGAATTATGGGGAAATATTTGAACGAGCATAAAAAATTTATAATCTAGTCAAAACTACTAATAATTGATTGAATATTTCACCTTGTCACTAATGCCTAGGACTTCTTTGAACATTAGTTTGGACTTTAATTTCCTTATCAGAGTGCAGTGCATTCATCTAGTCCATTTCTCCTTGTTATTTCTTTTTGACAGGTGAAGCTATCAGAAAAGTTGACACATGTGCAATCCCTTTGTATGCATGAGATGATAGTACGTGCTTTTAAGCATATTCTACAAGCAGTGATTGCCTCAGTTGTTAAGACTGAGGATATGGCTGCCGTAATTGCTGCTGCTCTGAATATGATGCTTGGGGTTCCTGAAAGTGAACAGTCAAATCACTTTCATGATGTTGATTCCCTTGTGCGGAGATGGCTGGAGTTATTTCTAGAAAAACGATATGAATGGGATATTTGCAATCTAAAGTTCAAAGATGTGAGGAAATTTGCAATTCTTCGTGGTCTATGTCACAAGGTACTCAAAATTTCTTACATTTGTAGTATTCCATCTTTAAGATATTGAACTAGTTGAAGGAGCACATCTTACGGCTGTAATGTTCACCATTCTTGTGCCAATGCTCAGTTTAGTCACTAACACATTTATCTGGTTACAATAGATTGAGATATTAGATTGTTCAGATTTGCTATTTCAGTGGTCAACTATGCTTTGAAAAACATTGCATGACAAGTATTTTGAATGCAGAATAGAAAATATATTTTGGATTTGATAAATGAAACTTATTAGAAATGATATCAGCTAAGCCCTAAATATGCATGTTGGGATAGGTTTGTCTTTTTGTGAAAAAATGGCAGTAAAGCACTGATAAAAAAAAAAAACAATTTAGCAAATGAAAGGGCAACATTATTCATATTCATAAGATGAAAATGGATTATAAAATACTTGAAATTTGTTCGTATTACAGATTATCCTCTAAAAGAGTTAACAATTAACAGCACTGAAATGTCTGTTTTGACTGTGTTAGGTTGGTATTGAGATTGTTCCAAGAGACTATGATATGAATTCTCCAAATCCTTTCCAGAAAGAAGACATTGTTGGTCTGGTACCAGTACATAAGGTGATTTGCAACTCTAACATTTAATATAGTTGGAAGAAATACTCTACTGAATATTGATTTTAATATCTGAAGCAGTCAACATTCTGTTGATTATCATCATCATATGTTTTATAATTGTGTTTGTCTTTTGCAGCAAGCAGCATGCTCTTCCGCAGATGGTCGCCAACTTCTGGAATCATCAAAAACTGCTTTAGACAAGGGAAAACTTGAAGATGCAGTCAGCTATGGGACAAAGGTAATTAATTTCAGGACTGGAAGAATAAATTTTCTTTCTATGAGGTTTCTCATTCACAGTGAGAATCCAGACTACTGAGATTTTTTGTAATAATGTGTCTTTATTTTTAAAAAATAGCTTTCATAATGTGACTTCTGTTATGTTTCTTTGTTTGTCTTTGGACTAACGTGGATAAAGAGGCAAGGAAATGGATATGAAAGAAAATTTATTAGAGAACCATTGTTTTATGGAAGGCAAATATTTATAGTTGCCTACATGTCAATACTATCTTAGAAGAGTCTTTAAATTTCTTGTTCTTTAGGCACTTGCAAAGCTTGTTGCAGTATGTGGGCCCTATCATCGAATGACAGCAGGTGCTTATAGCCTTCTTGCGGTGGTTTTATATCACACAGGAGATTTTAATCAGGTAGTCTTCCAGCTTTTTTACTAGAACAACCTACTCTGCCTTTGTGCTGCAGTTTCTTTCCTATTTCCAGTGTTTATTTGTCGTCTCCTACAACATTTTTCGAATGTGTTTTTTTACTTGATTTCCATGGCAGGCCACAATCTACCAGCAGAAAGCTCTGGATATCAATGAAAGAGAGCTAGGACTTGATCATCCAGATACTATGAAAAGTTATGGGGATCTTGCTGTTTTCTATTACAGACTTCAACACACAGAGTTGGCTCTGAAGTAAGCATTTTCTGAAACACATCTCACATGATTTACTCAGCATACATGAAAAGTTATGGGGATCTTGCTGTTTTCTTCCTTTGCTCAGCATATATGATTTACTTTTTCTATGTTTTCACTTTTAAGGTATGTGAAGCGAGCACTTTATTTGTTACATCTCACATGTGGCCCATCACATCCAAACACTGCTGCAACCTACATAAACGTGGCTATGATGGAGGAAGGCTTGGGTAATGTACATGTTGCCCTCAGATATCTTCATAAAGCTCTAAAATGCAACCAAAAGTTACTTGGCCCAGATCATATCCAGGTTGCACTTCCGTTATTTATATTTGTCTATATCTTAGTCTTTTTTCAGTTATTATTATGATTGCCTGATCTGATTTCTTTTGTGCTTGCGCTGTTTCTAGACAGCTGCTAGTTACCATGCTATTGCAATTGCACTCTCATTGATGGAAGCATATCCTTTGAGCGTTCAACATGAGCAAACAACGTTGCAGATACTTCGGACAAAGCTGGGTCCAGATGATCTTCGAACGCAGGTAACCCCCTCTTATTTGATGGACACTGACACACCATGATACAAAAGTATAATATTTATTCTTTAATTTTCTTCAATATTTAATTAAACCAATGGATGCTAATTTTATATAATGATTTAAACAATGAAAGTAATCATTGACTAACAATTTGTGCACGGAGCATTGTTTTTAGTGCTTGTTGCTCAACTAGTAGTTGTATTAAAGGTTCATCTACAAGTGATGCTTGTTAGATTTGTTTATTTTTATTTTAAGAAAATGAATACATAGACTTCCATGGAATGATTCTTATTGTAACTAAATGATGAAGGATGCTGCTGCTTGGCTTGAGTACTTTGAGTCAAAGGCTTTTGAGCAGCAAGAAGCTGCCCGAAATGGAACGAGGAAGCCCGATGCATCTATAGCCTGCAAGGGTCATCTGAGGTATGGAGGATACAAGTAAAAGCCAGTATATTTCACCATTTTTATGTTTCACTTGTTACTGAGCACTTAATTCTAAAGCCTATTTGATTCATCCTTCTGCTCAGTCTCTATTACTTTCTGCTATAGCTGACTTCTTTCAACTAAATCTGTTTTGTTACTCACAGTGTGTCAGATTTGCTTGACTACATTAATCCAAGCCCTGATGCCAAAGGAAGAGATGCAAATGGGATGAAAAGAAAAGGATTTATTATGAAGGTTGGCTTTTGTGCTTTGTATCTTTTTACTTTATTCTTTGTTCTAATTAATTCTTACGATCAACAGGTATGCCGAAATATTGTAATCGCTGTCTTTTTCTTCAATTGGAATATGAATTATGCAATATCTATCTATTATATTTAGTCTTATGTGTAATAATTTCTTTCCTTTTGATCTGTAATTTCATTTGTTTAGCATCTTCTACTGGATGTTAAAGGGGGAGGTTGTCTACAGAATTGTGGAATCAGCTTTTAAAATTAACCAGTCCCTTCGATCGTCACAATTAGAGAACTTTTTTTTTTTTTTTTTTTTTTTTTTTTTTTTTTTTTTCTTTTCTTTGCCTTCTTCAAACTAGAGATTTGCTTTTTGCTGCTGAACATGACTGGCATTTCTTACTTTTGGAATTGCCATTTATTAAATCCAATTCACTCCTAACCTCAACTTTGTATTTCTTGTGCTTTGTGCTGTTATTTTCAGGTGAAGGGAAAATGTGATCAAAATAATATTAACTCAACAAATTCTGAATTATCTCCAAAAGATGGTCAGAGAGAGGCATCAGATGAAGAGAAGCAAATTTGCAAACCTGATAATGAAAACAAAGAGAATAAGGAATCTGTCATCTTGGCAGTTGTATCTGAGCATGATGCAGACTGTGCAGGTGCTGAGGAAAAATTGGTCCAGTCCAGACTAGCTGAACCGGAGGAGGCTGAGGCTTCAATAGAGAAGCCAATTGCCAATGATGTCTTACCCGAGACACATGTTGAAGGAGAAGATGGATGGCAGCCAGTTCAGAGACCAAGATCGGCTGGTTTGTATGGGCGAAGAGTAAGGCAGCGATGGCAAACAGTTGGCAAGGTCATTGGTTATCAGAAAAAAGACGTGGTGTCTGATGTTGAACAAGCTAGAGTCCAGAATAACTACCAAGGTGGTAAATACTACCTTTTAAAGAAAAGGACGTCATCACCAAGAAGTTATGCAGATTACTATATAACAAAGACCTCATCGCCAAGTGCAAAGTTTGGGAGGAGAATGGTAAAAGCTATGGCATATAGAGTTAAATCAGTACCATCTTCTGTCAGAGAAACTGCCACAGAGACCTCAAGAATTGCAGATGATTCATTAAATCCTTTATCAGAAGAGAAGCAAATTTTGACACCAAAAGAGGTTGGCCAAATATCAAAGAGAAGTTCAATAGTAAGCTTGGGAAAATCTCCATCTTATAAGGAAGTAGCATTGGCCCCACCAGGTACTATTTCTATGTTGCAGACGAGGGTATCAGAAGATGAAATTCAGTATAGAAAAGATACTGCAGAGGTTGGAGAAGAAAACAATCAATTAGAAGAAATTTCTGACACTATGCAGAAGGATGCTGAAAATTTGGAGCGCAGCAGCATTCAGCATCTTGATCTGGGTTCTGCAGAGGCCGTTAAGAAAGAAGAAATTCACACAAGTGATGTGATGATTATTAATGATTCAGATTGTATAACAGTGAGTCAAATGGGGCAGGAATGCGTTCAAACTGATAATACGCTTTCGTCAGATAATTCTCCCAATGGGGATCTTTGTGAGAAGGAAGAAATAAACACATTTGAAGCCAGGAGTGATTCAAAATTGACTTTACAAGAAGTAGAATGTCCAAGGGTGAAATCCTCGTCTTATTCAAATGATAGCCGGGAGTTGTCCAACAAAAAGTTATCTGCATCAGCAGAACCCTTTAGCCCATCATCTGCTGTTGCACGCATAGCACCCTTGCCTATGAGCATTAATCACCCTTCTGGTCCTGGTGCCCTACCGGCCGTTGGTCCTTGGCCAATGAACATGACTCTTCATCCAGGACCAGGCACTGTTTTGCCCAATCCAATGGGCTCTTCTCCTCATCATCCATACCCTTCTCCTCCAACAACCCCAAACATGATGCATCCATTGCCATTTATGTACCCTCCTTACTCCCAGCCTCAGTCACTACCACGAAGTACATTTCCTGTAAACACTAGCCCATTCCATCAAAACCATTATGCTTGGCCATGCAATATTAATGCTGGTCCATCAGATTACACTCCTAGCACAGTATGGCCGGGCTGCCGCCCAGTGGAATTTTCTATGTCACCAGCGGTGGTTGAGCCAATCACTGACACAAATTTGTCCATGAAGGAGGAGCAATATGATAATCCTGAAAGCTTGAATATAGCACCAAACTTACCAGTGGATCTCAGTACTTTGGATGACACAAAGAAAGAAGTTTATCTTCCAGCATCAGAAGTTGTGGAGAACTTGAATGATGTAACTGACGTTCAATCAGATGATGATGGAATGAAGGGCAAATTAAATTCGAACCATGCTACTTTGCCTGAAAGTCTACCAAACAACAGTGATGATTCAAAGGAAGATGCTGGAAGTTGTGATCATTATGTACCAAGACATCCTTGGAAGACTGATAATGAGAAAACCTTTAACATTTTGATTAGAGGACGGAGGAACAGGAAACAAACTCTGAGGATGCCTATAAGTTTGCTAAAGAGACCATACACCTCTCAGTCATTTAAAGTTGTTTATAGCAGAGTTATCAGAGAGACAGAAGTTCCCAGGTCCACAGGACTTCCTTCCAATAAAGATTGTGCAAGTAATTGCACATAAAATATAGTACGTTCTGGAGCTTTTAACCAATAACTATTGCATAATTACCAATATGAAGTTGAAGCACACTTGTCCGAATTCCCAAGGAAATAAAGATAAAAAGAATTGAATTGTCAGTTTTTGGGATTGGTGTTGCTGGATTTCGGACTACATCACTTGAACTTAATGGTGCAGGTTAGATATATTCACCAACTTTACTATATTTGAACTTTCTGTGATTAAAGTCTTCCTGTTATTATGATTTATGAATGATTTTGCTTCTGAGAAAAGTCATTGTCAATAATTAGTATGCATGCTTTAACAAGTCGAGTTTCATTATATTATATTCTTGTGTATTTGCACTTTCTGATGGGAGTTGTAGGCTTGTACAGTCTTTAATTTCCTATTATTCACATTGCCAATTCAATCATCCTTTTTGTCCCTTCAGCTCCTTTCCTCCCACCCCCCTTCTCTTGGGGGTGGGTATGCTGTTTATATGGGTGAATGCAATTCAAATTAATGATGTTTGACTTATATGCAGGTTTCTTCTTAGAGACATGGCTTTTGGCATTTAAGGAGTCTTGACTGGTGATACCTACGTACGGTCTCCAATTATATTTGGTTAGGAAGTCTTTATGTTTTGTTTTCATAGTGCTTAATATGATACTTAAAGGCAGGCTAAAGTTACTCCCCTTTCATCTAGCTTAGCTAGCTTATTCATATATAGCAAGTTCTATTTTTGATAGCATGCAGGGAAATGCTTAATACAGTTCATTATTTGGTTGAGTTGTATACGACGACATAAATTATTCTTTTGAACTTCATTCTTACATCATATCCTACGTATTCATTTTGCAAAATATAATTCACATGCAGTAGTTGGTGTTGGTCTTTATTATATTGTTTAAGTAGTGTGATAAGGTGTGAGTGTCAGAGTGTATAATCAATCAAGCTGTGAAGCTTAATTTGCATGCAATATAATACTTGCCAAAAGATAGAGAAGAGTCAAGATTTGTGCTTCATACAAAGAAAGCCATCCAGCCACACTTGAAAGATCGAATAGAATTCCTAGCTATTACACAACATCATATCGATCTCTACTGCAAAACTAGGAGGGAGCTGAGCTGAGCAGACAATACATACAAAACGTGAAAATTGACATCAATCACTCTCGATCGATCGGTTGCATAGATCAGAGTTGGCCTGGGATCCAGCGAGTGATCGAGCTTTAATTTTTTTTTTTTGGTATGTTTTGATGGGTAAATTGCAGATGCAGGCTGCAGGTTAGTTAGTGATCCATAGAATTCATTGGGAAGTCTGGACGGCCGAGGGCTGGATTGTTTAGCTTCTTCTTCATCCTTAACAATGTTTCGAGGATAATACATGCGAGTAGTGTTGATCCAAGAAGAAACCCGTATCCTATCCGCCATTCATCCCCTGCTTCTGCGTAGTGTATTCCCAACACAATGTTCAAAGCTCCAAAGAAGAGTGCAATCCTTCCAACCCAAGAATGATACAAATTCCAGTACTTTCGATGTTTGCTGTCTTCGTGGGGACGTAGGAAAAATGCTAACACCTGATCGAATTATATTAGCTTGAGTGAGTAAGCTATCATATATATATGAAATGAGATGAAATTAAACGTAACCTGGAGAATACTGATGAGAAGAAGAAAAATGCCAATGCCCCTATGTGCTGGAACGTGGGCATGCATTCTTGAGTAGAGTCGAAGGCCCATAACCACACCAGCAAGTCCTAATATGAATCCAATGAACTGAGCAGAAACATGAAGGTAAAACCACAATGCATCTCCTCCTCCCCGTGATCGATGCCTGAGGTATCTTGCAAAAATTGCCCCGATAGGGGAGAACACACCCCATCCCATGATTCCTAAAACACCATGTGTCTTCTTTGTTTTCATGATACCACTAGGTGAAACAGATACTGAATATGAAGCTCCTGTGGAGAAGTCAAAGTTGATGGTGGTCTTGTCATCATGGTTTGTAAGGCGGAGATGATGGGGATATCTATGTGCAAATGCTAGGATGATTGGTTGAGCTCTGAGGCGCATTGGGAATTTCAATTGGAATGCGAGATAAATAGTGGCGCCTTGTAGCACAACCAGGGGAGGAGTCGTGGTCAATGGGAGTTCACCTTTGTCATGTTTTACCTGTGAAGGCTTGAATCCCTCCAACAAATACTGCCTGATTCTGGCTTTACCCTCTGGTGTTATCCATCCAACCATGGAGCTAGAGTTGATCATCTTCCCATTTCTTGAAAACCCAATTCCTACCCACCCACTGGTGTATAGAGTGGATGCCACTATTGTCACCACGTTGTCTTTTGTCTGCGAGTACTACACAAACATATATGCATATATTGGATGCGTAAATCAAATTCATTTCACTCCATCATATCATTTGCAATAATGTATGTATTATTTAATTTATATATACTACTTAACTTACTCTTAGCAGGAAATTAGAATTCCAAAGAGGCCGACAAATCACGTTTTCCATAGCCCCATAGGGAGGAGGAAGAAACGACGCAAGACTGATGCTGCATAGTGCTTTTGTATCTTGGGCAACTTCTGTGTTCTGAGCTTCAACATTATTTGATCTCCCAGAAACAACGATGATCAAGATCACAACAAGTAGTAACTCTTGGAGTCTTGAAATTGGACCCATTATCCTATCCTGCTAACAACTCGCTAATGCTTAGCTTGATGATAATATTTTGCAACTGTATGTATGTTATAGATGAATAATAAGAATAATGGTGCGTGCAGGCCGGAAAGCTAGAAAAGAAAATTAAAGAGTTGGTGTATGTGGGTCATCAGGTTTGGTAGCGAGGGGGTTGTGATTAGTAAGTGTTTTCTTGGGTTTGAAGGGTGGTGTATGGTGCCGATCTGAACTCAAGGGTGGCGGGTAATCATCATCATCATTATATTCCCTTCGAATCGATCTTTCAACCAACACCAAAATTCAATAAAGTAAAATAAAAGCCTTTCAACTGTTTTCGGGCAAATTATACCATTCACGAGGGTCTATTTTGCATATAATCTTCAAATTATGTACTTGCTTTTGTATTTAACAAATTGAAAGTACATTATATGATAATTATAGATACATAACATGATAACTACATACACATGAAATGTTAACTATAAGTCCAGAATATGTGAATTGCAAACATATAACATGTTAATCAACATCTTATGTATCTGCAGTTAACATAATTTGTATAAAATGTGTTAACCGTAAACACATAATTTTTGAATCAGAATTTACCATGCAACTGTGGTCCTATAACAATTGTTGTTTTCCTCTGTCATGACCCATCACCAACTTAATTGCTAACTGCCTATACAATTAAGATGGTATCTAGCTTTGAAATTTTTTCATTTAGTCTTAAAAAAAAAAAATGTATCGACTAACACATTAAAAAATCTTTTTTTTTTTTTTTTAGAAAAAAAAAAAAAAAGGAATTTTGTTTATACATTTTTGTACTCACTACGTACAACTGGCCTGGTGGAGTTAGCTAGGAAAAATTAGGAGAATCATATATATCAAGAACAAATAGATGGAACATGGTAACCTATATTAGGTAGAATAATGAAGTACTATTATTAATCAAAATATATTGTCATATTGTAATTAACTTAGCTAGCTGCTTCGATCATGTTGAACTCCTAATATCGGTAATATAAAACTTTAATTTATTTAACCGAATGTTTTATTATACATAAAGAAACATTAATCAAATACAACATAAATAAATTAACTTTAATTTCATTGGCTAATGACATTGTAGTATAACGGCATGGAGTGACTCTCTCAAATGAGAGACGATTATGGATTTGAGCTCTATTGAGGGCGGCATTGACTCTTTGTGCTTCAATAGGTTGAGAAAGTGGATATGAACATGAGTATTGTAAGTTGACCAAGAAGCCAGCTTGAGGAGCGAAAGTAGGTGGTCAACTTGCCAGCCTGCTGACTAGCAGCAGGTAGTCAACCCGTCGACCATCACCTAGTTGGCCGGCTAGCTAAGAGAAAGCATACAATTTAACTTATTACAAAATTAAACTTAAGCTAGCACACAATCACACATACAGCATATTATACATACAGTAGCTAGGTACGTTGATGCATTTCATCATGCAGCTTATTAATTTAATTATTACTTGACATCTGATCTGATCTGATCTTCAATACAACATATAGCTTAGCGCGCGGCTTAATTATAAATTGGTTGGTGATGATGTGGCGGCAGCTGCAGCAGCATCCTTAATGAGATGAAGGGATTTCTCAAAATCATCCAGCAACTGGTTGGGATCAGGAATCACATTCTCATCAACGGATATAATAACACCCATCTTGTCCACATAACTTTGAAAGTGAACCATCAGAGCCTAATTAATTATAATATAAGATAAGATCAGATCAGATCATGAGAGTATACATAATATATAGTTAAAACTTAAAAGCTTGCTAGGTAGAAATGAAAATTAATTAAATGATGATATGGTTAAATAAATTAAAGTAGTACGTACACTTGGCTGGCCATAACAAGTAGGAGCTATAAAGGCAATGGGGTGACCAAAGAACTCAAGATCTTCTCGAGGTCCAACAACGTTGGAGAAGCACGTGCTTGCGTTGCTGAATATTTTGTTCGTCAAAATGGCGGCTGCCTGCACCCATATATACCATGCATATATGCACTACTCCATTAGTACGTATATATATATATATATATATATATATATATATATATATATATATATATATATATATATATAATTGAATGATTAGATGCTTAATTAATTCCGATAGATAAGATATGATGTACGCCGTACGTATAATAATAAGATGGAATTGAAGAATAAGTAGGTAGGTATGTACTACTATATATAGCATAAGTGATAAGTATAGTACCTTGGGGCCAAAAAATTTAATGACGAAATTGGCAAGGTAATAAGTGAAAATAGGTTCATATGAGTATTTCTTGCGGTCAGCGGTTGCCTTGGCTTCTCTCACATAATCCAAGGGATCATTCAGCATTCCAATTTTTAAGGGTAGGATTGCATAACCAAAACGGTTTCCCCAACCCCACTTCGACATCGAATTGCTTTCTCCCTTCTCCTTCTTCATCATGTCTGCTAACGCCTACCAACAACATTATTATTATTATGTTATATATAATTAAAAAGAAGAGAGATAGATAGATCAGATAGAGATCAAGAAAGTAATCAAATCAAATTAAAGTCGATCACTCCAGGCCAACAACAACTTTAACATGCATGCATATATACCTGAATTCCTTTTGCTGGTCTAAGATTGAAAAATAGACATGATCGAAGTCGAAGATTCTTGGGGAGATTGTTTTGTCCTTCGATTGACCCTATATCTCTTTTACCTGCACCCCAACCCAACAGATCGAATCGGTACGGTGGATCAAATCTAATCTAGCTAGCTAGCTAAGCTAATTACAACGGTACAATTAATTTCGATAGATCAATTCATTTCTAGCTAGCTGCTGATATATACATATATACGAGTAGGGAGTATGACATGCATGCATACGTACCATATCTCCTGTTGAGATACATAGAAAGAGCAGCTTGTGTAACTCCCAACGCTACGTCATTTATGGTCTGTATGTAGAAAAGAATTGAAGAAGAATATTTAATTAAGTATAGCAGGCTAGGCCAGGCATGGAATTGTTTAGCTTAAATTAAATTAATGTAGCGAGGGAATTGAATATATATATATATATATACCGTGTTTGTAGCAAGTTTGATGGAAAAGAAATCGTTAAGAGATAGAATCCTGTAAGCAAATCGCTTGGGTTTGGATTCTGAAGCAGGAGATGGCGTGATTGGGGTTTGGGAATCCTTTAGGAAGAAGAGAGTAGCGATGAAGATGAAGACGTCCACTAATGTATTCCAAACCAGTTTAAAAAAATTCTTAGGCTTAGGCTTAGGGTTATTTGGCTTTAGGGTTTTAGGAGGGGACGAGGAGCGGGTGGAAATGGTAGGGAGTAATTTGGGATTAGCAGTTTGGCGGGTGCAGGCAAGCAGTAAGGAATTGATGGAGGCGCCGTCGCCCAGAGCATGGTGCATCCGCAGCACCGCCAAGGCCTCGGCGTCGCGTGTTTTGAGGTTCAGAATGTGGAGGTCCCACAGAGGTCGGGACATGTCCATTCTCTCTTTGCTCAGCTCGTAAACATAATCCTCCACAAACTTCTTATTCTTGCGATGAGTCTCATCACCTTCAACTTCCACTTCCGGTGCCTCTACTACCGTAATGTGTTGACTCAAGTCCACCTCCGTCTCAACCCATTTCATTTTCCCATTTTCTTCCTTATCCACAACCTGCCCGCATGTATATATAATTAATGTTAGTTATATTTTTTTTTTTAAAAAAAATATATAATAATAACAACATATATACATACCATCAAGCTGGTGAAGCGAGGGTGCTTGAGCAAAGTATGAGGCATATTGTGCGTGAAAACATGAGGGTTAATTTTAGAGTTAAAACCCATGATGGCCAGAATATGGAGATTGAATGCGGGCTCATGAAGCAAACGAGACGACGGGCTCACTGGCTCCTCCGCTATGGACATATTATTATTTTCCATGCCGGATTTCTGTTTTCTGGTTTCGATGGGTTTCAGGTTCCGCTCCATTTCCATTACTTAGCTAGCTAGCTAGCTTAATTAGAATACAAACCTTAGCTTATTAGCTTAATTATATATATATTATTTGGGGCCGGAGGTAGCTAGCTAGGTACAATTCCCAACCTGCAGCATTCTCGTCTATTTATAGATCGATATGATCGAATTGAATTCAGATCTGATCTATCACTGTAGGTACTTACCACTCATGCATGTTAATTATTGTAGTTGCGTACGTACTCATCTTATTATATGTCTCCACAAATTGGTTTACAATTTTGATTTGAACTTCTTGCGAAAGAAAGCCAAGTCCATCTAAGTCCCGGATGGGAAGTGGGAAATTCGAGACATGGCATTGCGACTTAGCAGGGATGTGATTAAATGATTAATGTCCACCTACTTAATTATCATTCGTTATTGGTTTTAAGTGGAGAATATGGTTGTGGTTAAGCATACTTGACTTACATCAACATAATGCAACACTGAGATTCAACAAACTAAGCTCTCGTTTTTGCCCTCGCTTGCCGGGCAAAATAGGTGGCCTTCGAGGGCCCACTTTGACGCATTATTCTCAATTATTCAATACTCTCCACTCTCCCAGACGTTATGCCATGGAACCGTGTTCACCATTCATGGTGAACACGGTTCCAACGGTGTTAGTACACCGTTATCTTCTTTTTTTTTTTTTTTTTTTTTTTTTTTTTTTTTTTTTTTTTCAATTAATTGCGTGACTTTTCTTCTTTATTTTCGCATTTTGCGGTTTTACTTTAATTTAAGGTGAACAAAGATTTCGGACATTCATAAATTATGAATTCATGCATGCACATTCACTTTGGAACCATGCCTACACATTCCCGTCCGAAATCACGGACATTCATAAATTATGAATCCATGCCTGCACATTCACTTTGGAACCATGAGATTATGAATTTTCTGTTATGCGATTATGAATTTTCTGTTATGAGATTATGAATTTTCATTACATTCATAATTTCGGACATTCATAAATTATGAATTCATGTCTGCACATTCACTTTGGAACCATGCCTACATATTCCCGTCCGAAATCACGGACATTCATAAATTATGAATCCATGCCTGCACACTCACTTTGGAACCATGCCTACACATTCACTTTGGAACCATGAGATTATGAATTTTCTGTTATAAGATTATGAATCCATGCCTGCACACTCACTTTGGAACCATGCCTACACATTCACTTTGGAACCATGAGATTATGAATTTTCTGTTATAAGATTATGAATTTTCTGTTATGAGATTATGAATTTTCAGTTGTGAGATTATGAATTTTCTGTTATGCGATTATGAATTTTCATAAAATTCATAATCTCATAACAGAAAATTCATAATTTGATCAAACGCGCGCCGTTAACTCCACATCCGCGAATTTTTTTATTTTTTTTTACCTAAAAACGACGTCGTTTTGCCTTGTGTTCACCATTCTCGGTGAACACGATTCCATGGCATAATTTGCGCCACTCTCCACACTAAGTCCTCTTGTATAAATATATTCCTCTCAAAGAGTAAAACAGATCTCAAAATTCTTAATAACCACCCACTTTGACGCGTGCATTATTCTCAATTATTCAATACTCTCCTATCAAACAAAGGGTTATATTGGCCAATCGTTGATAAATAACCGCAAGTCATAAAATCAATATTAGAGTCAAAACTCTAATTCCATCATTTATATTCTGATCTTTGTAATGAATATTTTGTGACCCTTAGCTTATATGATAAATGAAGAATACTATTAATTTGTACTCTCAATACACAAAATCTTGATGTATGTAAACACTTGTATTAGGATCCACATGAAAAAAGTAACTTATCAGAGTCCACCACATGTCCACACCAGTGAGTAAAATTTAAAGAGTAAGATTTTGGAGTCTATGTAGTATAATTCATGATAAATATATAGTTTCATATATAGGAAAAATATAATTATGCTATATGTGACGATGATAGATTAAAATCTATGAGTTGATGTTAGATTACTCGTAAATATTATTTAGAGAACAATAAACATAAAGTTCACATGAAATATATGGAGTATTATAAATTCTATTCAACCGACCCTACTTGTAATTAAACAAATGCATGTATATATGCTCTTTATATTAGATTGTATCACGTAGAAACCTCTGTAGGGTCCCATTGTGAGTACGTGTGGCTTATATTGAGCGGCAAATTATATCATGCACCGTGGTGCATGATCACGTGTCTTTTTTTTTTTTTTTAAATGAAAATAAACAATGTTTGTTTTTCGTCGTTTTGCACCCTTTTGCAAAAAGTAACACTGTTCTTCAGTGTCATTTTGTATACACTGCAGTGTCAGTTCAACACAACTACAGTTTCATTTCGATATAACTATAGTTTCATTCGATATTTATAGATTCAAATATGTGAAAATGTTATTTAATTTTATTTTATATACACTATAGTTTCATTAAAACACAACTACATGATCATTTTGATATAATTACAGCTTCATTGTACAATATACACTCAAATATGTGAAATGTTATTCAGTTTCATTTTATATATACACTGCAGTTTCATTTCACTATAACTACAGTATCATTTTGATATAACTGCAGTATCAATTTAGATATACTGTAGTGTCAGTTGATGTTTAATACACTAAACAAGCGGACTCTGTTAACTATAACGGCGGACCGTTTCTTTACTTAAAGAAACGACGCTATTTTTGACCGCGGTGCATGTGCACCGCGGTCTATGATATAACGACTGATGTATATCTACCGTGTCGGGCCCGTTAGGAGGTTTCCTGTATTCCATGTAACTCGGCAAATTATGCTATGCGCACGTGCGCACCTTGCAAGGTGCGCACGGTGTTAAAACGGCATCGTTTTTCGTGAAAACGACGCTGTTTTAATTTAAAAAAAAAAAAAATTTGTTCAAAACGTCGTTAACGGCGTTAACGGCATATTCGTTATGAAATTATGAATATACAGTTATGACATTATGAATGTACAGTTATAGAATTATGAGTGTATAGTTATGGAATTATGAACTTACAATTATGAACATAGAGCTTCGAAAATTATGAATGTTCGGTATGGAATTATGAATATACAGTATGGAATTATGAATGTACGGTTATGGAATTATGAATGTACTATTATGGAATTATGAATGTACAGTTATGGAATTATGAATGTACAGTTATGAAATTATGAACATAGAACTCTGACATTATGAACTTACAATTATGAACATAGAGCTTCGAAAATTATGAATTTACAGTTATTGAATTATGAATGTACAGTTACAGAATTATGAATGTACAGTTATAGAATTATGAATGTACAGTTATGGAATTATGAATGTACAGTTATGAAATTATGAACACAAAGCTGTGAATATATGCTTCTATAACGAAGCGGTCTGAAATTAAAAAAAAAAAAAAAAAAAAAAAAAAAAAAAAAAAAAAAGAGGAAGGCACCGTTATCCGTGCGCATGAAGCACGCTGGGCACGAGCCCACAGCATAACTATCCATGTAACTCCTATACTAAGTATTTACTTGTTATTGGATGAATAAAATGAAATGACGATCTCATTTATTAATTAATAATTAAAATATGACATATTATGTAAAAAAAATAGAGTAAAAAATGAGAGTATATTTTGGATGTGGTTTAGTAGAGATGTAGCAAATTAAATTGCCAATTAAGAAAATTCTATCCTCATACCCAATCGAATGGTGAACACGGTCCTAAACGGTAACGGTGCACCGTTATTTATTTATTTATTTATTTATTTTTTAATTAACATAGCGACTTTTCTTCTTCATTTTCACATTTCGCGGTTTCACTTCCTTTTTGCGCAAGCTTCTTCAATACTAATAAATTATGAATGTGCATGCATGAATTTATGAATGTGCAATTATGAAATTGTGAATTTTTTTATGAGATTATGAATTTTCTGTTATGAGATTATAAATTTACAGAAAATTCATAATTACATAATTGTAAATTTATAATTTAATAAATGTTTTTCTTTTATGAGATTATGAATTTTCTGTTATGAGATTATGAATTTACAGAAAATTCATAATTACATAACTGTAAATTCTTCATAATCGATCTCATAACAGAAAATTCATAATTTAGAAAATGTAAATTCATAATATGAACATAGAATGCAAAATACCGTTAACAGCACATTTATTTATTTATTTTCTGTAAAACGATGCCGTTTGGGAACGTGTTCACAAAGCATGATGAATACGTTTCCACCGTATAATTTGCGGGAGCTCGGAGTAATAAATATGTAGGCGTGCAGGCCAATAACATTTCAATATCAGTCTAAATTAATATTATTGAATTGAAAAAGAGTAGCTCTTTATTCCTTACCACTCAAAATATGCTTCAACTACCATAATTTAACTTTGATCATGGAAAAATTAATTAAAGGCACGATGTACAATGCTCTTTTAGCATAGTCATATATAGAAAACAATTACACGTTAACTTTGAGAATGAAGAAATTAGTTATTGATCTGATGTCGATCATACCAACTAATTAATTAATACTAGAAATACTCTTCAACTTTGACAATGAAAAAACTAGTATAATATGCGTATACATAAGAGTGATAAGACAACCACTCAAAACACATTTTAATTGTTATACTAACTAATTAAATAATACAAAAAAACACACCTCAACTTTGATTATAGAAAATTAACTAAAGATATGATGTACAATACTCTTTCAGCATAGCCACATACATAAGCGGTCCACGCTGGGATAATCAATCAGAGATGGATATATAAACGATTGATGTTTATTTCAACAACCATAGGAAAAGGACTGGTGCTTAGCTTATTTTGACCAGACAACCTCAATTAATTGGCCCAAAAAAAAAAAAAAAAATTGGAGGAGATGCATGCATGCATTTATATATATAATTATATATGTGAAAATAGTACGACCTAAAAAAGGAAAACGACAAAATAATTATATCTTTTGGAGGCCAGAGGATGCATCTAAGAAATTCAGAAGTTGAGAGAATTCAACTACTCAACAATATATTTATTGACAATGTCTTGTTTCATGGGTTTACCCTTCTGTGTGCGCGCATGTGTGCGTGTTAAGAGTCTATATATT